ACTAGATTGAAGAATTCTTCAGCCTCCGGTCAGTTCAAGCTATCAGGTGCAAACTTTAACGAGTGCATTTACTTTAAACGCAGTTGGGCGCAGAAAACGGAATCCGCTATGTTTAGCTGTTTGAGGCTTTCCATTCTGTTATTGTTCTTACTTGTCCGTTTTTATGCTGTTCTGTTTCTCGCATTCTGAGATACTGAAACTTGCTTCCGTATTAAAATAACATAGCAGTTTAAAGAATCAATTGTATCATAGTAAAGCTTATTAAGTTTGGAAAAGTTTTATATATTTAGTTAACTGAGTGCTCACATTTTCTTTTTTATGATTTTAGTTTAGTTAACTGCTTGCAAGTTAAATCATTATATGCAGATTCATAGAGGTTTATACATATGCAATTAAAGTCACGAGAACCCGAGTAAAAAATTTTTTCTGTGTTAATCTTTTTGCGTTCCCCAACCCCAAGCGGGCAATCTTCATATTCTATTTGCCTGTTCCTGAGGGGTACGAAGCGCATGAACGATTCTAATTAAATTGGATTCCCTTACTAGACGTCACGCGACAACCTCGTTTTCAAGGCGCAAGTAAACCCTGATAGACTGACGAATAAGAATTTTACCGGAATACCAGGAAAAAAATCAGTTGAACGTTACCTCTCCGCTCCCTTTTCTGTCCTTTCCCCCCTGAACCCCCTGCGAAATCAAAATTCACAATGGGAAGAAACAAGACGGCGAGCATTTATTCCCAGACAGAGAGGTCATCAATTAGCTGAAGTAACTAATCGTGCTCGGCAAACTTTCTATCACTTCGACCTTTATTGAGTGATCATACGATGCTTTGGATGCGGAGAGAAGCCGGATGGGAGGAGGGACACATTAGACCAGTGCAACACCATTGTATCTGAGATATACCCGTAATTTTATATTTTGTGCCCGCCTTTTCCCAAGCATTGCAAATTTCCTTTTCGCGCACTTTGTTTAGTTATCAGTTGCCGTGAAACGTTGCGTTTATCAGAAACAAAGACGGACAGCTCTGTACACTACCCGAGTAAGGAATCCGTATCATGTCTCTACGTATGCGCAACGTAAGAGCGTCTTTTAAGGCAATTGTCACGTACTATATCCGACATATCTCGGTTCCCTATTTACCTTGCTAAACGTTGGCAAGCAGGACGTTAGGAAATTGTTGTTCTTTCGCGCGTGTTAATGAAGACAGGCCTAACAGCGATAATTTCCACAACTGATAGAAGGACTGCAAAGTGAACAAGGTGAATATTTGGTATCTTCGCCGAGGATTAAGAATTTCTGTTTTCCTCTTTAGGCCCGTTCAGTTGGTTAACGCTGCAGACCTGTTATTGTACTGACACTTGTGAAAACACA